GTCGAGCTAAACATGTCGCCAACGAGATTTTAAGGATTTTGAGTTGCATTTTATACTTATGTGCACGAAGGCATTTACAAAGTCTCTAAACTTTGGTTCGCCACCTTTGTTTGCCTATCTACCAGTGGATGGTAGGCGGTGCTTCTCTTAAGAACAGTGCCCTGCAACCTGAACAGCTTCCTCCAAAACTAGCTGAGGAACACTTTCTCTCGATCAGACACAATCGATTCAGGAATCCCATATAGTCTAACCACCTCTCTGATAAATGTTGCCGCCACTGATATTGTGGTGTAGGGATGTCGTAAGAGGATAAAATGTGCATACTTACTAAGTCTGTCAACCACCACTATGATGACTGTGAATCCCTCTGATCGTGGTAGGTCAGCTATGAAATATTGAAATCCATAGACATTTCCTCCCATACTCTGTTTGGAAGTGTCAAGGGTTGTAATATTCCTCTTGGAGCCATGACTATATATTTATTTCTCTGGCACACTTCTTACCTCGCCACCATCTCCTCAACATCTTTATACATTACCCTTCAATGAAGCTCAGATGGCAACTTTCTATAGGTCTTCTGTACTTTTGAATGACCTCCAACTGTACTGTCGTGGAACTACTGTAATAAGTGTGAATATATATGGAAGTTCGTGGTATCACAAACCTCCCTTGATGCAACAGTTTCTCTCCCTCAATATAGTAACTAGGATGTCTACTATTATCTTTCATCAAATCCTCCATGTTCTTTCTTAACTCTTCATTCTACATGCTTTCTTCTTTGATGGCCCCCAATCTACCATCAGTAGTATTGAAATAACCAACTCCTGAAGTTCCCCAACACATCTGGATAAGACATCAACCTCTTTATTTTCAGAACCAGGCTTATACTGAATCTCAAAATCATAGCCTAATAGTTTAGACAATCATCTCTTATGCTCATCAGTCACCATCCTTTGCTCCAACAGGTACTTCAAGCTCCTCTGACTCATCCAGACAATGAAATGCCTACCCAAAAGGTAAGGGCACCACTTATGAATAATCAAGACAATGACCATAAACTCTCTCTCATACACCGACTTCAATCTAGCCTTTGTAGACAACACTTGACTAAGTATGCTATAGGTATGTGATTCTGCATCAGCACTATTCCCAACCCATATCCGGATGCATTGGTCTCCACTACAAAGATTTGGATGAAGTCCGAAAGAGCTAAAACTGAAACTATAGTCATGGCTTTCTTCAATCTCTCAAAAGCCGGAGTCGCTTCCTCTCCCCATAAAAAGTTGTTCTTCTTCAGTTGCTCGGTCAAGGGCTAAGCTATGGTATTGTGCCCCCTCATAAATTTCATGTAGTAACCAGTTAGTCCTAGGAAACCCCTCAAATCCCTTATGTTCCTAGGCATAGGCCATTTCTGCATTGCCTCAATTTTTGTTTGATCGACCGCCACTCCCTCTTGGGACATTACATGTCCCAAGTACTCCACACTAGATTGGGCGAAGCTGCACTTCTTTAGGTTGTCCCTCAGTTGATGCTCCTGTAAAACTCCCAGAACCACCTTCAAGTGCTCCAGATGCTCCTCATTCTTACTGTGCACCAGAATGCTATGAAAAAATACTAGAACAAACTTCTTGAGGTACTGCCAGAATAGCTTGTTCATCAAATATTGGAAAGTGGCAAGGGCTTTAGTAAGCCCAAACAACATTATCATAAACTCATAATGCCCCTCATGTGTCCCTTAAAGATATCTTTGAAATGTTTGTCTCCCTCATTCTGATTTGATGGTACCCTTATTTCAGATCCAACATGGAAAACATTACTGCCCCATACAATTCATCTAAGAGCTCATCAATCATAGGAATAGAGAACTTATCTGACACTGTCCCCTTGTTCAAAACTCTGTAGTCCACATAGAACTGCCAACTCCCATCCTTCTTCTTGACCAGTAGGACTGGACTAGAGAAAGGACACACTCGACCTGATAATCCCAGCCTCCGCCGTCTCCCGGATCAGCTTCTCAATCTCATCTTTTTGGATATGAGGATAGCGATAAGGACGAACACTGATCGGCGTTACCCCTTCTTTTAAAGTAATGGAATGCTCCAACTCCCTTTGTGGTGGTAGGCTGTGGGGAGGTTGAAAAGCCTCGCTAAAATGCTGTATGAGTTGCTGCATTAAAGAGGGAATATCTCCATCCTCTTCTAGTCCGACCCTCTCCAAGAAATGCAACTATATAAAAAATCCTCCTCCCACCTCCTCTATGGTCCTGATTAAAGTCTTGAGAGATACCCCAGTCTTAGATAGCCCTGGATCACCTTGAATCACCATTCTCTTTCCCCCAACCACCAGTTCCATCCTCAGTGCCCTTGGTATCCCCCAATGTCTATTGTCACTTCATCCCCAGGATAACATCAGTGCTTCCCAACTTTAAGGGAAGAAAATCTTTCCTCACTTGGATCCCTTGTATGGCCAACATCACTCCCCTGCAAACTCCTTTACACATCTCCACCTTTCCCGTGCCCATCATCACCCCATACCCCCTGTATCCACTAATTTGACCCCCAGCAGTTCAACAATCCGGGTGGAGATGAAATTGCGGGTTGCCCTACTGTTTATCAACACCATAACCTCTCTATCCAATATATCTCCCTTCACTTTCATGGTGTGATTTGGGGTGAATCCCACCACTGAGTTTAAGGAGACTTTTGCTAATCCTCCACCTCTAACCCACTCTCACTTCCCTCTTTAGCTTCCTCGTCATCACAGACGGTGAGAGCCTGAAGAATTTGATCCTTACACCTATGCCTCGATATGTATTTCTCATCTCATCTAAACACAACCCTTTTGCCCTCTTCTCTTGTATCTCCTTTTCTACTAGTCTTTTGAAATTTCTCCCATTTCCCCTTCTCCAGCTCTCTCCTTGGGCTCTTCCCTTAGACTCCCCAGAGCAGGTCCCTTGGGAGCTAAGAAGGTAGTGGTCATTCTGTATGACCCTCTTAAGTTGCTCCTTCTAGCCCCCCTCTCCATATGCTTATGGTCCTCCACCAACTGTACTAGCTCCATGGACTCTCCTAGGTCTCGTGGCATCATCACCCTAACTGCGATCTCCGTTTTAAGCCCTTTCATAAAGTTTCCCTTTAGCACTGTCTCTGAGAGTCGGTCAAGTCTGCTGGCTAGATACTATAACCTGTCACAATAATCTGCCACGGTCCTCTCCTGTGTTAGGACAATGAATTGCTCATAGAAATCTCCTTCCCTACCTGTTCGAAAATGTTCTAGCAAACAATCTTTTAACTCCCTTCAGCTTCGAATGGGTTGCCTCATGTCTCGTCATTGGTACCATGCCAGTGACTTACCCTCCAAATACAGTCCTGCCACTGCCAGCTTCTCTTTCTCTGTCAACCTATTAACAACAAGGTAACGCTCCACTTTGTAGATCCAACCATGGCCATCCTCGCCCTGAAATATGGGCGTCTTCAGCTTTCTCACCTTCGGATCACCCCTGTTTCCCCTGAATCCTCCATAACCTCCCATTCCTCGAAGAGGACGTGCTCCCCAGTTGTCACGATCTTCCCTCCGACGATCATAACCAAACCCTTCATCACATTACCCTTTTCTTCTTTCAAAATTAGTACCTCGGCAGTAGAAATCGTCCATTCTCCCCACAAAATCAGCACCCCTCCATTCGTAGCCCATATTCATCTCCTCCCTAGAAAGTGGTTCTAGATGAGGCAATCCGTCATCTCCCTAAAGGATCTCCACTTCCAGATTCTCCCTCCCCCTAAACGGGTTCAAATTTCCTCCTCTCTCATGGCCGCCGGTGGTCTCCTTTGCTTCCGATGTCGCCGAATCTTGTTTGTCTTCAAGCATATTTTTCATCATGTCTTTCAAGGCGACGAACCTTCCTTCCATCTTTTCATGGATGGATGCAAACTGTTTCTGAAAATCAGAAGTTTTCTCCTCGAAATCTGTCTTTAGTTGTCCAAGTTCTCCCTCCATGACTTCAACATTCCTTCCGGCCATTGATAGCCCTTGGATCGATGTGCTCTGATACCAATTTGATAGGAAATGGACACCTCCAACAAAAAGTCTGCTGTTTTTAGAAGGCAAACAATAATATGATAGCAGCAACTTAAAAACTGTAGAAATCTGAGAGGAAAACGATGGATTCCACTAGGAAACGAAGAAAAAATAGCAAACGATACAAGTTTCTTCAATTTGAGAGGAAGAAACGAGTCTCCAAATCCCTAGCCAAGCGATTAGAGCCCAAGCACAATGAAGATCTCAAATTTCATATTCAAATTCAAGATGAAACCCTAATTCTAGCTTTAGCAACTAATTAAAGCCAAAGGATATATACAAAATCTCTAAACAACCTCTAATTCAAATATTTCCCTCCAAAGCAATTTTTAATCAAGGCGTGAGCCCCATAGAAGCAGCCTGCCCCTTCTCTTCCTCTTCCCTGGGCCGACGGCTGTAGTAGAAAACCGGTCCACTGGTTCAACAGGAACAGCCAGCCCCTCTTGGGCTGGCCTAATAACACCCTTATCATGTTTGCAAATATGATAAACTGTGAAGTTTTTATGCAAATGACCCTTCCTAATTTGAGATGATGCTGTTTTTTTTTTTTTTGCTGCTGCAATAATGCTTCTTTTCCATTTTATTTTACTGCTAATCAGCTTCTATCATCTGCTACCAAGTTACTATTAAATATTGAATGGTATACTAAGTTAGATATTTATAATAAATTTTGGTCTGTCCAGTCTTAGGAAAATATTTCATTCTGACTTTTTTTTCCTGTCCGAAAAATGAAAGCAGGAAAATTCATCCATCTATGATGAAAGCCATCTTTATCTAAAATGGATGACCAATGCTATCTGCGTTAAATTAAATCTTTCAATCTGGTTTCTTTTGGGCAAATTATTTTTCTGATTCTTTCTTTTTTGAGTTTTTCTAAAAGAGTAGCGTTGTTGTTTCTTGTTTTTTAAATGATACCTTTACAGGAAAGAGGACTGGATGGTTTAGAAACAAAGAAAGTTGTTCTTGTGCATGGAGGTGGTTTTGGCGCATGGTGCTGGTACAAAACAATGACACTTTTGGAGGATGCTGGATTTGAAGTCACGGCAATAAACCTTGCTGGATCTGGAATTCATTCTGTCGATACTAACAACATCACAAGTCTTCCCCAATACGTAAATCCATTGATTATTTTTCTTGAAAAGCTTGGTGATACTGAGAAGGTCTGCCTTCTTCTAAAATTAAGATTGAATGTGTTGCATGATTCATTATATTGCAATGTTGTTTAATGTTAGAATCTCGTAATTCACCATGAATTTACTATGTCAAGAAAAATACTTTCTGATTTTGAGCATAATTGTCTACATTCCAACCAAAGATGTGTAGTTTTTTTTACAATGACACTATTCCAATCAACTTGTATGATATGAAGATATTCTATAATGTTAATTTATTTTTGTGTTTTTCTTCTGTAATGTTAATTTGTTTTATGTGCATCTTACAATGCTTTTCTGAAATGACTGCCCCTTGGCTCTGCAGCGGTGTAGAATTCACGTCTTGATTGGGGAGCATTGAATTTCTTGCTGGATTTGAAAACTGTACTCTATTGAATTTTAGCTTCATGCATTTTGCAGGTGATCCTGGTTGGGCATGACTTGGGTGGAACATGCATCTCATATGCCATGGAAGCTTTTCCGGCAAAGATTGCCAAATCTGTTTTTCTTGCTGCAGCTATGCCAAAAAATGGGCAAAGAACTATTGACGTGCTCTCTCAGGAGGTTTCAATTCATTTTTACGAATCTTTCAACAATTTATATACTAAATAATATATATATATATATATATATATTGAAGATTATAAAATATAACTAAAAATTTTAAATTATAGCTAAAAATACTATTAATTTTTCTTATTAAATAGTTTTATTAAAAATTACTAAAAAAACCTCTAATTTTAACACCATTAAATCTAACATCCATTATTTTGAATGTTGGGATCAAAATAATCCCATTCTAAAGAGTTGAATGGTCCCTCAAGATAATTTGAGACCATTTTAATCCTTCCTAAAGAGTTGATAGACCATTTTGATTTTCTCTCTCTCTTTATATATATATATATATATATATATATATTCATTTGCTAGCTGGTTGCCAACGCATATGCTCATGTCTTTGAATTTGAGATCTATTATTAATATCAATTGTATCTATGAGAAAAGCAAATGCACTTGAAAAATTGTGAAATTTCTTGACATTTCTCTAAATGCACATTATTGTGAGGTATATGGACAACATCATATGTGCTTAGTACTTATGAATCGGTTTTAGGGTTAAATGTAGAATAATGCTTTCTAGAATCAGAGGATTGTAAGCTTTGATTAATCTGCGTTGAAAACTCATAATCTGGTCTGCTTTTCATTTTTCTGACAATAGGAAGCTACCAACGATCTGATGCAACATGGTCAAATCTTTTTGTATGCAAATGGAAAAGATCAAATTCCTACAGCTATCAGCTTTGAAACGTCATCATTAAAAGATCTTTTATTTAATCAAAGTCCTACGAAGGTATGTCTTTTTCTTAGGAAAAATCATTTGTTTATTATTTGTTGTGGAATCCCTATATATATACAAAAGAACGCATACAAAAGGAAAAAGTAAATAAGAGAATATCTTGATTGTGGATTTGTAGAGATATATCTAGTACTAATATGTTAATTAGCACTTTTCTATAACTCTTCCCCTTAAGTTAGATTATATATATCACTTAGCTCCAACTTATCATATAGCTTGAAAATTTGAAGTGAACCCAAAGCTTTGGTAAAAAAATTGCTTGTTGTTTTGAGCTTGGAACTTGAGTAGCAATAATCTTTGATAGATTGTGTTTTGAATAAAATTACATTGAACCATGAAATGTTTTTTTCTTTAATTAAACATATGATTACTAGTAATGTATATAGCCACATGGTTGTCACAAAAAAATAAAGAAACACAGGTTGAGTGGTTGTACAAATAATTTCCACCAAAGGGTCTTTACCCACATCATCTCACATGTAGAGCATGTCATGGCTATATATTCTGTCTCAACTCTTGATTTTGCCACCATTATTTGTTTCTTGTTTTTTTTATGTGACTAAGGCTTCGTTCGGGACGACTTCCTTACTACTTCTTAAATAAACTTTTTAGCATAAAAAATTTAATTTTTGTACTAAAATGCTACTTCAAGAAAAAGCCGTCCCAAAGGAAGCCTAAGTTTCCTTGCACAAAGATATAACACCCGAATGTAAATTTTTTATCATTGATGGACCCAATACAAGCAATGCCAAAGAAAGCTTCCATTTTAAAATATTCGTTCTCGTATATAAGAACATTTTTTCTTAGTAACTTCTTGATGCATTCAATGATACATCAAATAACTTCCTAATGCTCCTGTTTAAAAGTTTGCATGTGTTGACTTACAACTCCACCAAAAGAGGAGATAGGTTGTCTGATGACAATAAGATAGATTAATTTCCAACTACCCATAATTAACGAGAGACATCTTCAAGCATTTTCTCTTTAATTGTAATCTTGTGAGTTTCAATATGAGCATCAACTAGTTTGCAATGTAATCGACCAAGTTCTTCAAAAAAGTCAGGTGTATAATTCCTTTAAAAGAAAGAAACTCATTTGCTCGGTTCAAATTCAATACCTAAGAAGTATTTTGGATGACCAAGATAAAACAAAAACATCAAGCCTTTATCGCACAATCTGGGGTTGGATACATTAATCATTTTTCTCTATTGTGTCCTATTAAGAGTCAAATTCTCATTTAAATTCAATATAAATGTCATTTCTAATTCTTTCTACCCACATTTTTTTAGATCTGCCTCTACCTTTCTTATCATAGGCTAGATATATTACATCTACTTTCCTAAATGGGAGAGTAGTGTTATACTTTAGTACTTCATTCTAATCACTCTCAGTCAAAAGTATTCATGAACATAAACTACCAAGATAACAAAATAAGATGGACAATGTTAGGCGAAGATGGATTGATTTGTTGTATTACTGTAAAGGCTGGCCTTGATGCGGACATCAGTAAGAGATTTAGACACGTGTACCATCGACGGAGGCGTAGATCAATGGCCACGATTCATAGTCTCTACTTTTGACATATTTGTTGTAATTTTTATTTATGTTATTTCAGTTTCCTAGTCTAGCCCTGAGGGTAGTGAGTGTCTTTTATAGCCCCATGGGCATTTGTGTCTTTTTTTTCTTTTTAGACTTGAGATCCATATATAAGGGTCTCCATGCTTTATATGAGAGTTAGTTGATGAATGAAAAAGAAAATTATCTTGTTGTTCTCTTTGTGAGTTCCAAACTTCTCTAAATCTCTTTGTGAGTTCTTGAGGAGAGAGCATCTTAGATCTCTTTGTGAGTTCTAGTGGAGGAAGAGTTGAGGTTTGTGTGCTTTGAATTTCTTTTCCCCCCCTCCCAAAATCCGTGGCACTCTCCCTTTGATTTCCTCCCCACGGCTCTCCCCAAAACCCCATCCTGCCGCCCCTCCCCACCTAGCCGCCGGCTGAAGCCTCACCGCCGGTCAAGAACCCCACCTGCCGGCCCCCTTGCAGCCATCCAGCCTTGCCGCCGGCCCCTCTTGGGTCTTGGATTTGAAATTCGAATTTCCCATGAAGCATTTACTACTTTCCTAAAACAACTCCTTAATTTTAGGCTATCATATTAATTGGATTTCAATTTGAATTTGAAATTCAAATTAATCCTAATTGTAGCCCTCTTATTAGGAAACTTTCCTTTTAGCAAAAATCTGAAATTTGTTTCAGATTTTCTTCAAATCCTTGATTAACCATGTGGTCCCCACTTGTTTAATTCCCAAGCCCTCTCACCACCTATGATGCACCGACACGCCTCTTAAAGAGGGTATGCAGTGTCGGACACGGACACACATCGGACACGGCATGGACACGTATCCGACACGGCATTGGAGTGTCGGAATTTAAAACATTAAAATTTAAAAATCGAACACGCGTGTCCGGATATTAAATGATAAAATCGTCCATTCTATTTAGCCTTTTCCGCGAACGAGAAGCTCTATTTTTTCGATCCACGAAAGAAATCTTCTAGGGCGGACCGGGAGAGCTCGCAGTCGACGCCAAACAGAGCCCGCTGCCTTCGCCTCCCGTTCCTTCGTCATTTCTGCTCGGCCAAGCAGAGCTCGTCTTTCCCATTCCTTCGTTCTTGCGTTATTTCTGCTGTCATTCGAGGCAATGTTCGCAATCAAGGCCAAACAGAGCATCTTCTGTGCGCAAGAGAGCCAATACATGTAAGTGAATTTCTCCATTTCTTCTCTTCATTGTTGAAAAACCTAATGTACATGCTCGGTACCGCTCGGTATCGCTAGGTACATGCTCGGTACCGCTCAGTACATGCTCGGTACTACTCAGTACATGCTCGGTACTGCTCGGTGCCGGTAGGTACATGCTCGGTACCAGTAGGTACATGCTCGGTACCAGTAGGTACATGCTCGGTACTGGTAGGTACATGCTCGATACTGCTCGGTACTGGTAGGTACATGCTCGGTACTGCTAGGTATATGCTCGGTACTGCTAGGTACATGCTCGGTATTTTCACATACAAACAACTTATGAACTTTAAAAACAACCAGAACCCTGAAACCCCCGCAGGGGCGCTGCCCCTTGACCCCGCAACCTGACCAGGCAGGTCGAACCCCGCCAGGGGGCAGCGCCCCCTTGGACCCCCGGCAGACCGGTATATTGTTTTATTCATGTTGTGATTTTTTTATTTCACTTCATATCAATTTAATTCGATGTATTCATATGCATGATTGGTTTGTTAGCAAACTGAGCTCGGCTGCTGGCGGGAGTGGATTAGGTGAAGGTTCAAAAGAGCCATTTGTAGAAACTGATAAGCCATTATGGATTCATGTTACAAAGTTAGGAAAAACATTTGAAGGAGAAGGGAATGTGTCATTCAAATGCAATTATTATGGTGGCACCTACAAAGGATCTTATTCTAGGGTGAAGGCACATCTACTTAAAATTTCTGGCCATGGAATAAAAATGTGTCCTAAGATTACTACGTCGCAGTTGATTGAATTGAACAGACAAGTTGATGAAGCTGAATCTAGGATCCAAAGGACACTCCCTAAAGAGGTACCTTTGCCATCTACTCATGGCTCATCTCACACTTCTTCCTCATCTGTGAGAGTTAATCAAGCTTTATCATTTAGAAGTGAAGTATATGAAACAATGAAAAGAAAAGAAAAGGAGTAGCCAAAAAGCAACACACCGTTGCATTGTTTAGCTCATTTACTAAATCCAAGGTATATTTATATTTATCTTTTAAATTAATTTAAATTTGTTGGTAAATGAACATATAATTTTATATGCTTTGTATTATTTGAAGGTATTCAAGTAAAGAATGGCTTCAAGAAGACCCTCAACATGTCTCACCATAAAAAGATTTAAAAATTTCAAATATGAGAAAGATATGCCTGAAAAGATATTTTCCAAATGATGAGAGAAGAAAAATTAATATAGAACTTGCAAAGTTCTTTGGATATTTAGAGGATTTTGGTGATAAAAAATCTTTGGTTGATAGATGGAGGATGGATCCAAAAATGTGGTGGTTGATTCATGGAGCTTCAGCACCGCTTCTTCAAACAATAGCAATAAAACTTCTTGGTCAAGTATCATCCTCTTCATGTTGTGAGAGAAATTGGAGCACATACTCATTTATTCAATCAACGAAGAGGAATAAAATAACTCCACAATGTGCTGAAGATTTAGTTTATGTGCATACAAATCTTCTGCTTCTATCAAGGAAAACCTCACTTTATATGACAGGTGATAACAAGATGTGGGATGTTGCTGGAGATGGGTTCGAGTGCCTTGATGATATGGGATTATTGGAGGTTGCAAATCTTTCTCTAGATGAACCAGAGTTGGAAGCAATGATATTCAATGATGATGATATTGAAGGCCAAAGACCAACATCTGAATCTAATTTTATCATTCCCTCTATTGAGTAGTTAGATATTCATGTTGTATTAAATGATTTTTTGCTTATATTTTTGTGTTTATACTAGACATTTTGTACTAAACATCTTTATGTTATAAGCTAAACAAGTTATCATGAAATTGATTTATTATTGCTTGAGATTTTTACTATAATGTCACCTTAATTTTTATATATTATATTAAAAAATTATTATGCCGTGTCCACGTCGCACCCGTGTCCTATATTTTTTAAAATTGCCGTGTCCCGTGTTCGTGTCGTGTCCGTGTCGCCGTGTCCGTGTCGGTGCATCATAGCTCACCACTCTACATGGACGGCCACTCCACTCTCTCTCCCCCATTAATTCTTCTTTAATACACCATTAACCCTTTCCCTCTTAGACTAATTTGAAATTTGAAATTTTGAAACTGAAATTAAACCCTCCATATTTTTGTAAATCTGAACTTAAATTCAGATTTGGCTCTTCTCCATCATAGCCTCACCCTCTCCCCTCTTCCTCCCAAACCGTGACCCCCCACCCTTTCCCAAAC